GTCAACTGCACCGCTCAGCTTGGTGTCATCTGCAAACTTGCTGAGGGTGCACTCGATCCCGCTATGTCATTGATGAAGATATTGAACAGCACTGGCCCCAGTACGGACCCCTGAGGGACACCACTTGTCACTGGTCTCCATCTGGACATTGAGCCATTGACCACTACCCTCTGGATGCGACCATCCAGCCAGTTTGCTATCCACCGAACAGTCCGCCCATCAAATCCATATCCTTCCAATTTAGAGAGAAGGATATTGTGGGGGACCATGTCAAAGGGCTTACAGAAGTCCAGATAGATGACATCCGTAGCTCTTCCCTCATCCACTGATGCAGTCACTCCATCATAGAAGGCCACTAGGTTGGTCAGGCAGGACTTGCCCTTGGTGAAGCCGTGCTGGCTGTCTCGAATCCCCTCCCTCTCCTCCATGTGCCTTAGCATAGCTTCTAGGAGGATCTGTTCCATGATCTTCCCAGGCACAGAGGTGAGGCTGAGCCTCACCACATCACATGGAGCCCATCCACCCACCTGCGTTCACAAACACCCACTGCAGGTCCTCGTCCGGCAGGATGTGGCCTGGGTGCTTCTTCCATAGCTCCATGATGATCTTGGAGAAAGCCAACTCATGGTCCAGCCCTGCAGCACCTGGGGTCGCCATGAATCCCTGGCATGGAGCAAGCCCTGCCAGCTCCCCCCCTTGAATCCCCTACCCAGCCACAGGGTCCCAGCACATCCTTTGAGGGGTCTCCCTAGGGGAGATGTCTCCTTTCTCCAGCCTTCTGTCCCCGTGGCCACAGACCCAGCCCCACTGCCTCCCCAGATGGTGATGGAGGATGTGCAGCACCGAGCGCTCCAGCCCTACAGCCCACCCCAGGTGCTGGGCTATATGGGGGACCCAAGCAATGTGACAGTGACCCTGCCCTGGTGACATGCAGCCCCTCCGCTGTGACCACATATCCTGCAACAGCCCTCCCCTCCAGCCCTAGTTGGGGGGTCAGTTCTGCCCTTGACCCACCTGGAGCTTGGTTCCTTGACCTGGCCCAGCCCCAGCACCGAGAGAGCCACCTTAACCCCAGGTTCAGCCCCAACAGGGCTGGGTGATGGTGCTGCCCCAGTCCCCATCCCTCCTTCATTCCAGTCCCATTCCCCTAACCCAGTCCCCCATTACTGATCCCTTCCTGATACCGGTCCTGCTGCCCCAGTCCCAGGCCCCGCCCCCTCCCTGACCCCAGTCCCAT